TTGGCACATATAGTTGGCATGGTTGTTTTCCAGATATAATAAAACTAATTTCTGTTTTTTTAAATTGTTTTTCTGGGTGTGAAATGCAGTCCTGATGATACTCCTTGGGATGGAGGTGAGTTGTACTTTCCTTGCATTTAAACACAGACCTAAACGAATGTCCGAGCACGGTAGTTTGACATATGCTGGTAGCTTGCTAATGGTTTGGTCTAATTTTATGTGTGGTTGTCTATGCATAGTATGGTGTTTCAATTTTCTAATGTCTGTATTCTTTTTGTCATCTGATTATCATTTATGAATTCTCATGCCCTCTGTCCACCCCACACGCGATAATAAAAATAAGAATTTGAAGGAAAAGAGGAAGAAAAGAACAAGTGCAGTTGCAAGTTTTATTAGAATCATTCAGCAGAGGTTGTACCTCGTGCACTAGTTTTTTAAGATCATATTCTCAAGTGCCCTGATGGCAGAAGATTCTTTCTTCGATCTCCCAATCCGAGCTTTCTTGTCATGCCATTTCTATGATTTTCCACCTTATTATCTGTCATCATTCTATTGCTTAATGCCAAAAGCAAGTTAGTGAACGAAGAAGTGCTGCAACCTTGATCTTCTATGCTATTCTGCAATAGGTTCTTTGCATTTGGTCAAACTCTAGTGCAGGTGATTTAGCTAATTGTGCAGCACAGCTGGGCTGATCTACGTGCTTAGCTTTTAGAAATATGTATCTTGTGTTATTCTTGCCTAATCTTGTAACAAAAGGATCTTATTTGCCTGTTGTTGAACCAAAAGTGTCGTCTGGTGGGTGTTTCACGTGGTTACATTTGTCTGGACTGACCAAGAAATGCATTACACATTTGAAGCAATTCGAATTTTGTGGTATCCCTTTTGGCGTGTTTGCTATGTGCTCCGCAGAAGAAAACACACACATTCTAAACCTTTTCCTGACTGAATTATGTATTGATATCTTCTTTTCCTGACATGAATTTGCTACTTGATCTATCAAAATACCATCTGATAACATCAGGTACGTTTAAATTGACTCTTCAATTCTCCGAGGATTATCCCAACAAGCCACCAACAGTGCGATTTGTTTCTCGCATGTTTCATCCCAATAGTAAGTTGGAGATGAAGTTTTCGTTTTCCATTCATTAGAGACTTGGAAAATGAATTCTTATGTGGAATATGCTTTTCCTTTGTTTTCAGTTTATGCAGATGGAAGTATATGTTTGGATATCCTGCAAAACCAGTGGAGTCCAATATATGACGTTGCAGCTATACTTACATCCATTCAGGTAAATATTGTTAGATCCTTATAACAATAGTTTAATTGTGATTTGTAAGCAGTAGCTACAGTTATGAATTCTGGTAAGGTTGGCTTTTTCTTAAGATAGCTGCATCACACAATTGTGAGCTACTTTTGCGTTTCATGCTTGGGTATTTTCCATGTGAATTCGTTAATTTTAAACGAGAAAGCAAGTCTTCGGGAATCACAAAAGGTGATCCCAAAGATTTCATTGTTTGCGGAGGTTTTGACTTGGTGAATCAAGCATTGCTCTATAAAATTAGTACGATTCAGAGTGTCCAGAAAGGTTCTCTTTGACAGTCTAGACACTGGAAATAGGATTTTTGTAAAGGTGTCCAAGGAAAGGACTTACCCAAAACCAAATTTCTCAGGCCTTTTATCTAGAGGATGTACGCAGGATGCTTTGTGCACAGGGTTGCCC